AATGAAAACAGATAAATATTTTACTTTTAGAAAGAAGTTCAAAGAATTCGCTGATTTGTAAAAAGCAATTTTGTTAAATATATTAATAAAAATGTTTTCATTAACAATTTTATCAATTTAACTTAATATAATAATCCTCTTGATTATATGCTTGCTTGCTTTTCGCTTATTTGCAACTTGAAGTATATTAAAATTAAATAATATAGTTGTTTATTGCTTGGTGATCTCATTTTATAATTTAAATGTGGTTTTTGCTACTTTCAGGTAATTTGTGGAGTTGCTAGCTAACGAAACGTGGCAAGGTGTTTATATTTGAAGTGAGCAACTTGCAACGGGCAACGGGCAACTGGCAACTGGCAACTGGCGAATCTGAGTGGCCGAGGGAGGAAACGGTATTTCCTGGAAATGCGCTGAGTCGAGCTGAACAGCTTTTCGGGCTGGTAAGCCGCCAAAGTTGTGAGTTTTCAGGAGCAGCATCAGGAATGATGTTGATGTTGTTTGTATGAGTGAATCACAGGAAACAGTGTTTGTGTGAATGTGAATAACTTGGGAAATTCCGTTGATGGTTGTGAGAACGAAAGCGAAACAAGCGAAGCGTTGGCAAATATGTACATACGTCTAAAAGGCATAGACCTTTCAGTTGAACCAACCCAACCCAACCCAAACCCAAACACAGCCCTCAGCTAATTAGGCGACTCGCATGAGTTGTGAGAGCGGGCGGCTGGTGAAGAGTGGCTTGCAACAACACACAATGAAAAATCGCCGGTTTCCTGGCCAAAAAAGAAAAAAAAAATCGAGAGGGGAGGAGGGCAAAGAAAATGAAGAAAAACAAACTTGTTCATCTTCAGCTAACGAGCCAGCTTCACTTGTGAAAGAGGGGCTGGGGCGTGTGTGTCTGCGGAAGGTGGACAGGTAAGAGTCAGATAAGTAAGTTGGAAAAACTGAAACTCAACTCAACTCGACTCGAACTGAATGTGTGCTGCAAGTGCAAATGTAACAACAGCTGCTGGAGGTGGGTGTAGGCCGGCAAGACAATAAACAAATAAATTACATGAAAGCGGCTGCCAGTTTTTCTTTTTTATGCGCTGCAAGCAGAAAAATGTGCAACGCTCTCGCTCGTGAGTGAGAGTGTGTGTGAGAGAGAGAGGGGTATAGCGATAATCACAATAAAGCGACACGAAATGTGCAGCAGCAGTGTGGCATCCTCATTAACCCAGACTGCAACGGAGTCGTCTATGCCGCCCCCGCCTCCGCCATCTCCATCTTCCCTCCCGCGGTGCACAGCTCCTGAAAGTGAAAGTCATGGCGCAAATGTGAAACGTACTTCATGCCACCCCGAAGATGGCTGGCAACAAAGTCAAAGTAATTGGCCAGTTGAGCTCATGGGTTAATTAAAACGCCAGCCACGCACTTTTATTTTTAATGTCTCTATAAATCTATGAAGTCTATAGCTCAATATGTATGTAGATATTTGTGCCACCGCAAAAGCCACAAAATCAACAACAACAACAACACCACCAACAACAGCAACATCAACAAAGATGAGACGCATCCGTGAGATGCCTTTGAAATGTTTTGCAAAAAAGAGCAATGCGTTAGATTTGCATTGGATTTTTATTTGTCTTGGCTTGACTTGGCTTGGCTTGAATCACTTTTCACTTCCATCTTCCGCATCAGCTGAGAAAGTGTGTAAATGTGTGTGTGTGTGTGCGTGTGTGTGTATACATGATATATAGAAAGCTGCTCTGAATGAGATTCAATAAATTTGCGAGGCGCTGGCAACCACTTAAAAACTGATAGCTATATTTAAGTCCAGCCAGCAGAGAGTGCAAGGGGACGGACAGCGGATGGAGGGGTGGGGCATATGGCCAGTGGCAAGGCTCTTTTGTGGGTCAGTCGGGCGCGCATCAGGTGTGTACGTCTGTGTGTGTGTTTTAAGAGAGGTGGGCAGTCAATTGGGTCGAAGCGGTTGCCCAGCTCATTACCAGCGTATTGATATATGTATACAACAGCAGCAGCAGCAGTCGCTTCCGCTCGAACCTGCCACTCGAGGCAGCAACATTAGATTGAAATTTAATCAACGACACTTGGCGATGTGAGACAGAGACAATGCAAAAATACACAAATAGCAAAAGATAATAAAACAAGCCGAGAAATATAAAAAAAAATATACAGAAAAAATGAATTGCCACTTGGACACTTGGGCACTTGGCCACTTGGCTGCTTGGCAGCTTGGCTGCTTGGCTGCTTTGCCTGTGCTTGGCCTCGTCACGTGGGCATGACAGTTAACAAACCCTCCTAGACGACGACTCAATAAACTAGGCACTGGCCTATTGACAGAGCACACACACGGCGCACACAGATTGAGATTGTGCAATTGGGTGGGCACAAGAATCTGAGCCAGAGACCCCAGCTGGTCTGGCCTGACAGACCTTGCCAAACGGTAAATGTTATAGTCGCTTATATATAAATATATATATATATATATATAGACATATATATGTATATGTGTGTATGTGTGGGGGTTGGGGAAGGGGTGCTGCAGCTGCCGGTAGGGGTGGGCTGGCTGGCTGGCTGGCTGGCTAACATTACCATAGCCCACATCCACATGAACATAAGTAAGTAGATTTAGAGTACTCGGCATGTAAGTAGTATGCAATAGCTGCATTCTGCATTGACATGCTCTGAATACGGGCCGATTGTTGTGAACGCTGCTTGCTGCTCTAATACCCTGTACATAATTTGCATAAGTGGTGCAGACCTTCTAATGTCAACAAAATGATGAAATTTAAAGAAAAATAAATACCTATTTAGACTTGTTTTCATTTCAAATATTTCTTTTTATTTATGGATTGCGCAACAAATAATACAGGAAGCTGTCAAATAGATTCATTTATACTTGATTTACCATAATATATAAATGGATTTTGAGGATTCAGGCAGCTGTCAGATGCAATAATAAATAGTTGATTTACTGGAAAAATTAAATTGATTTCGAGGATTCAGGAAGCTGTCAAAGGCATTACTACGTTTCTTAGAAAATTTAAATTAATTTCGATTTGGATCCAAAAAGCATTCAAATATTTAATTGTATGGTGTTTTTACGTAATAACACACTTGGAATTTTGTGTTTTCATATCATTATTTAATTCAAATTCGAATCATATATCTTTATTGATATATGTATATATTTCTCTATGAGATATACATCATATAATTTCCTTATTCCGATATCATATTCACAGCTAAGCATAATTCTCTTTGAGCTATAATAATTTTAATCAATCTATTTAAATGTTCATAATTCTATCTCCAACCAGTGAGTTAGCATGCTTAAGGGTATCTTCAAGTCGAGCTTTCTTGCAGCTAGATGCTGCAGCACCTGAGCACTTGCAGCAGCCGCTGTTGCTATTGGCTTGAGAATGGCAATTTGATTTATTGGCTTGTTTTTGCGCTCAGTTTCGGCGACAGCGGCTTAGGTAAATTATGCAACAGACTATAAAATGCAGTCAGTGAAACCAGCCAGCCAGGCGCTATAAATTCTCGAAATGCGTTATTTGGCTCACTGATTTTTCCCACAATTTGCAAACAATAATGAAAAAGGCTTTGGCTGTTGCTAGTGCCGCCTAATTAAATTCAAATCGCTGCAACGAATAAAATGAAAAAACTATAACAAAAACTAAGAAAAAAGCATAGTTTGTTGCATGCCACAAGTGGCCGGCCGGCCGGTAGCGACCAACGACCGATAACAGCGGCACAAAACAACAAAATTGGCAGCAAAAAAGGCAGCCAATTAAGGCCAATTTAGTTGCAGCAACGCCGTGCGGCGACACAAAAAATAATCAGTGGAAAAACGACAGCAACAACAGCTAGAAATATGCACAACTCTGTATGCAAATGAGAGCAGAGCAGGCGAGCACCAACCAAAAGTAACTCAATACTGCCAACAACAAAAACAACAACGATGGCAAAAAATTATGTATGCACAGATATTTGTACAAATTTTCTCATTTTTTTAATGCGTCTCTTGCAGACTGTGAGAAAAATGCCAAGCAGCAATTTTGAGTGTTGTTGTCGTTATTGTTAGCATCGCCATATATGAGATTTTATGCTTATGCAAAATGTGTGTGGCTAAGGGAGAGAGAGAGAGATAGGCGAAGCTTTGATATCGATAACGCGCTGCCTGCAATCGAATGCAATCGAAGCCTTTTGATTAATGTGACCAGGCGTTGACAACAACAGCAAAAACAACTACAAGTGTGTCAGCGTCAAGTGCAGTTGCCGCAGTGAAATCTTTTCTACTTGTTGGTGTTGCTGTTGCTCTTTACAATAACAATTGTTAAATGCGACTGCGCAGCAGGCGGAGCGCAGCTTTGAAGCCTGAAAAACCAACAACAACAACAGCAATAACGGGTCGGTAACGAGCAACGGCCTGAGATTTGTTTTTTTTTTTTGGCATGTAAAAGGCCTCGCGCTGCGCCCATTAAGCTTTAACTCAGACCTAAGGCCGGCAAGTGCCGTGGATGACCTTTTCGTTTTAATTCCAATTCTGACTGTTTCTTTTGTGGTTTTTTTGTTTTGTTTTTTGGTGTGCCCGCAGAGCCGAATCTAATTGTTAGTGCAATCAGCTTAAAAGCAACTCTCAAGTGTTGCAAGGCGCGCAAACTGAGCAGCTCAGTCAGCCTGACGGCATTGTCACGCACTGTTGCTGTTAACAGCAGCCAGAAACGGACATAATCATCATAACAAAATTAACAATCAATTTGGACAAAGCACACACACACAAGCACACCTACGCAGTCGAGATATAAATGATGCTGCAGGTGGCAGCACAGCTTTGGCCTCAACTCGTTTTTGGTCAGAAGAAGCAGTAAAATATTCGCACACACTTGTTCACTTTCTTCTTCAGCTTCTTCGTATGTGTGTGCTTGTGTATGAGAGTCGCTATCATCCCAACAAGCAGCTGAAAGTAACTGTAACTCGTTGCAACTTTAGTTTACCTGTTCAATGGAATATGTGTCGCTTTCAATTGCAATTGTAGTCATCTCGAACTTTAGCCCAAACTCTCTCAAAACATAAACACACTTCGATGCACTTGTAAACAAATGCGCGGCACGTCGCGTCGCGTTCGCATCCAAACAAAAAAAAGCGAACAACACTTGCACAAATATTGGTCCAAAAATATGAGAAAATGTCAAGAAAGGCCCAGCGTTCTATGCAAAATGCATGCGGCACGCGCTGTCAAATGCAGCGCCAAACGAAAGCAACAACAAAATGCGGCGCTCTTTGAAAGATGCGCTTCAATACAGTGTAATCTCCTAAAATGTTATGCTCAAGAAAGCTCTGTTAGCCAGCACTATGTTAAGTGGTATTTCATTTTGGTATTTAATTTGTAAGCTTGCCAGACTATAAAGTGTTAAGGCGCCAAAATAGAATGAACTTTTGAAGACTATTTCACTGCCGTACATACTGTGCCACTGCTTGTTTGCTTTAACTGTGTGGCAATAAGTGAATATCATAAATAAGACAATCGAATTGATAGCTTTTGATTGATTTGCCAATTTGAATTTATGACGTTGTCACCTTGTATAATGGAGAGTGGAGAGTTCTGGCTACATAATTGACAGATGTGGCAACGCCAATGTAACTGAATTTCGCTTCGGCGCAAAGCAGTCGACTTCATCTGAGCTTTATCTTTCGTAGCCAGACATTTTTTCAGCCTTCTGGGAAATTTTGTGAAACGCAAATATGTTAAAGTCGGAGGTGCAACACCAATACTGGATAACCAAAAAGGTTGTGCAGCGCAAGCTGGGCAGCAAGGAGGACAAGCACATCATCTCCTCCGATGCCGAACTAGATGCCAAAATCGAGGTATTCAAATCGATAAGCGACACTAGCACGGAGCTCTGCAAAATCATTGACCAGTACCAGGAGCGTCTCTGCATCCTGTCACAGGAGGAGTGCGTCTTCGGTCGCTTCCTCAAGGAGGCGGGCAAGCGCAGCAAGACAACGGGTGGCAGCATCACAAACGCTGGCAAAGCCATGTCCTTTGCAGGACAACAGAGGATGTGCGTCCGTGTGCCGCTGCTGCGTCTCCAGCACGAGGTCGATGTGTATCGCTGTCGTGCCGTCAAGGATACGGAGCTGACGCTGCAGACGATGGAAAAGGAGCGTACCGAGTATCGGGCGGCTCTGTCATGGATGAAGCACACGGCCAGCCAGGACATGGATCCAGATACAGGCAAGGGACTCGATAAATTTCGCACCGCTCAGGCTCATGTGCGCGCCGCCAAGCACAATTTTGATGGCTACTCCATGGACTCCATACAGAAGGTGCTAACTCAATCTTAGTTCTATATACATTTTATCTGTTAATCCCTCAAATCTCTGCCATAGATTGATCTTCTGGCCGCTGCCCGTTGCAACATGTATTCCCATGCGCTGGTCGCCTATTTGGCGGAGCTGAAAACATTTGCCCAAAAAGCCGCCTCCACATTTCAGACAATTTCCAAGGCGCTGATTGTGAAACCTAAATATGATTTTTGTGTGCTCAAGGAACTGTCCCAGAACGAAGGTGCGGACACCGTTGAAACTCATGAGTCAGCGCCTATTGAGGCTGTCGACAAGGACCAATCGCTGTTCTTTGCGGTATATATTTAACATTATATGGCAAAGATGAAAGATTGCTAGGATTTGTGTTTGTTTTTCTTTTGTGCAGGATGCGTATGAGGATAAGCCGCAGTCCAAGTCTGAGGTGCAGCCACCAGCTGAAGAATCGTCCACGGATGCAATTGATAACTGTGGCGACAATGAGGCGCTGCTTATTGAACTCTCCAAGCATATGGAGGAGGACAGTCCGCTGATTGAGGCGCCGCTGCTCGACTGCAGCAGTGGGAATAACAAATTCTGGTCACGCATGTTCAGCCAGCAACAGCAACAGTCGCCCATTCCAAGCACTCTTCCGCCCGCTGCAGGTGCTCTTGCTGCTGCTCCAATCCAGACCAACAATAAACAGAGCCAGGCGAGCAGCAGCAGTTCAAACAACAATCCCTGGTTGGAGCTGTTTGCCGATCTGGATCCGCTAGCCAATCCACAGGCTTTCGATCTGAAACTGAGCGGCGGACGACGCGTTGCGGAGCAAACATAAAACTGGACATTTGTCGTCGTGGGCAGACTACGAGGTTTCCAGCAAAACAACCACAACAAGAAACAACAACAAACGAAAGGAGTAAATGTCTATCGCTAGTATTAAATAGTTTATAAAATTCCCTTTCCACCATCGATCGCTGAGGCGTTTTTCACGATGTCGATTGGCTTTAGCTTTTTCACTAGTAATCAGTTTGTCAATAAAAATCCATCTTTTGTGTGTTTCAAATGTTTTGCAATCGGCGCCTAAACAAAACAAAACTATCGATAAATGCATATAAAATCGATTGGCATGTAACTTTTCGCTAAACGTTCAAAACTTTTTATAGTTTATTTATTTAAATAAAATGTATATTGGACACAGCAGCTAGGGCAGAGGAGTACGAGGAGGAGGACGAGTAGAAGGAAGAGGAGGAAATGTGGCAACTCATGCAGTGGCAATCATTTAACAGCCGCCTGCGCCTCCTTCTTGGAGTTGACCAGCTCGACGAGCTCCTTGACGCGACGCAAACAATCCTTTTTACTGCGATTCGGTATGCAGGCCGCAATGCAATCCCAGCGATCGGGCGTTGTCGTTGGATACGTTTTAATTGCCTGCTCCAGCAAGGCCTGCTCCTCCTTGGTCCAAGTCTTCGATGCCACACCATTGCTGGTCGGTGCTGGCGTTGTGGGCGTGGCAGCTGCCGCAGCTGCAGCTGGAGTCGCATTACCATTTTGCTTGGATTCTGGCAGCAACGGTTGTTGCTGCGGGTGATGATGATTGCTGCTCGTCAGATGATCGCCACCATTCTGTTTAACATTCTCCTTGGTATCCGCCGGCGCATCGCCGAGCGTAATGTCATTCGTTGTTTGCACCTCCTTCTTTGATCTCTCGAAACTCTGGAACGCTGCATCGTTGGCGTGCGCCTTGAGCGTGCTCTTCGAGTGATCACTGTTCTGCAGCGCCTTCGCCTTGTTGAGCACATCGCGTGCACTGACCGGACTACAGTCGGCACCACAATGTTGATTGATAAACGTGGCAATCACATCCCAGCGTTGCGCTGTTCCAGCGGGAAACAGATTGACCGCTTTGATCAGCAGCTGCACATTCTCATTGCTCCAGAGTTCACCCTTCTTCACCTCTTTAATGGTGGATGAGGAGGCCGCTGATTTGGGCGTGTTATTCATCTGCTGTTTCTTTTGCGCCATATTCAACTCTTCCAGTTGGGCGGCAATCTTTTGATCTGCCGTCTGCATTGCAACCATGAAGGATTCACGGCCCTTCGATTCCATGGCCTTGTTGAGGGATTGCAGTTCGGTTAGGGTGAATGTTTCGCATATCTTTTCGGTGGCCTCCATGTGCTTGAGTTGATCCTTGTCGTTTTTGGCATAGTACTTGCAATCCTTAATCTTGTCGCGCAACGTTTTGCGCTCCTTTTTGAGCACCTTCTTCTGCTGCTCCCGCTCGATGCGTATCTGCTCGATGCGCTTCTGTTCGGCCTTGTCCGCCTTCTCTTTGACCAGCGCCGCCTCGCGCACCGCTCGCTCCTGTTCGGCCTTTTGGGCCTGAGCCGCGTCCATTTTGGCCCGTTTCGCCGCCGCCTTGCGATCCTTCTCCTCCTGCTTGAATCGCTGGATCCGCTTGTCATTGTTGTAGGCCAGATCGACGAGCGCCCGAATGCGCGTCATTTCCTCCTTTTTGCGTTTGATGCGTGCCACTTTGTTCTCCTTCTCGATCCAGCGCCGCTCGTCACGATCCTGCCCCTTCTCCTTGTCCTCCTCGTCCAGGTAGCTGAACTCGCGCCATGACTTGAAATCGTACCAAAAATTGTAGAATCGTTCGACTTCCTCACGTTTGGCGTCCACATCGCCAAATGGCGGCACGCTCGTCTTTTCGCTCCAGCGCGCGTTCAGATTGAAATACTTGTTAAAAGCGTTAAAATAGTCGCTATCAATGTCCGTCTGTGTGGGAAAGGCGTCATCGAATTCCGGATCCACTGAGTCGTAGCTGCGGCGCAGCTTTGAAGTGCCTGCAATTGAACAATAAAAGAAATCATAATAATCGAAGCGAGTGAAATGTGCAAAGTAAATCTTAATTTATGGATCACGTTGCGGAAATGACTATAATTTCGTTATGAAATACGTTGCGAATAAGTATATTATATATTTTTGAACAGCCTCAACAGATGAAATACAATTTAGTGCTGCATTGTTACACAATATCTCATAAAGATTCTACAATCTCCGCCATGCTGAATAGTATTTTGAAAAGTATTTTTCGCGAGCAAAACTTATCCGGGTTTTGGGTTTACCTACCGAGTATTTCGTAGGCCTTTGTTATGCATGTAAAGTAGTCGTCATCGGTGATAACTTCCTCGCCTTTGGCTTTCCGCTTGTCAGGATGATGCTGGAGGACCATTCGTCTGTAGGCACGCCGTATGTCATCATCGCTCGCCTCGTATCTGTGTGTAGGTGTTCATCACAAAAAAAAGAGCATTTAATACACGTGCAACACACACATAGAGAGAAAGAGAGTAAGAGAGAGAGAGAGGCAAAGATATATAGTATAGATTTATATATATAATTTGTTGTTGGTGCATTACCTCAATTTGCCAAGGCCGAGCACGCTGTAATGGTCCTGATCCTTCCACTCTTTGGGATCGAGAGATTTGAGGTAGCTAATATCGACATCTTCGCCAGCGCCCGCCAATTTCTCATCGGAATCGCTGCGCTCGACGCCGCTTGAATCGCCAATTTGGCGGCGTGCATTGAAATATGCGCAGCCAACGCGTTCGATTTTATGACGCACAACCTTCAGTGCTGAACACTCCAATTCTATGCTGTTGGTCATTATGGTTGGGCGCGTGTGTGGCTGCTTGTTTAGCAAGAAACTAGTAATTTTAATTACATAAATCACACTGCACTACCTCGAATTTTGTTTGCAAAACCCGAAAAAATTGTGAAAATTAATTCACTTCACTACCGCATGCTAGGAGCTAAGTGTGGGCAAGCGACATAAAAGGCACAGTCAAGTCAAATTGCGATAGTCAACAATACGCTTTTCAACACTACTTTGTGGCGGCTGGTCGACTGTGAATAAATTAATATTAATAACGAATTATAACGAAATAGCTGACTTTAAAAACTAAGAAATGTCTTTGTAAATTTATGAATTAATGTAGTCTCTTCAAAGAATTATTTTTATATTTTTCGAAAAATGTGTTATTTTTATCGATAGCTTTTGCAAGGTTTCTGGCATTTGGGGAATGTCACTATTTATTTTATATGTGTAGGTTTATATACGTAAAGTAAATAAAGAATGCTGCGAAAAAAGAATCTCTTTGAAACATGAGCAAATCTCAGGAGAGGAGCACAAGCTCCGCTACCTCCACACCCAACAACAACACATCCGACGACCTTCACAATGTCTCCGACACATTCTACACCAGCCAGCGCAAAGGCAGCCACGTATTTCGCGTTCGCCTCGATGCCAGCGGATTCACGCTGCAGCGCGAATCTCCCAGTGGGGTCACCATCAAGGAGCAGACGGTGAAAATATGTGATATTGTCGGTGCACGCTGCATGCGCCTGAAGAAATCACCACGCAGTCTGACCAGATGTGCCTGCGTCAATCCCGGTACTCCGGCAGCAGCTGCGGCCGCTGCCAGCCATCGCAAAACTGGCACACCGAGCAGGTGCAGCACGGCCAGCAAGGAGGATTATGGTGCCTGCGATGGCGGCGATGGTAGCGCCTATCTGTATCTCTTTGCCTATGTGCTGAAGAAGAAGAGCTTGAGGAGCACCCTGCACCGGGAGCGCACTGTGCTGACACTGCGCTTTCGCTCCTTTGACACGTTTGAGGATAATATGCGTGAGGCGGATCGCTGGTATCGTGCCCTGCGCTGGCAGCTCCATCACACGCTGGAGCCCACGTTTGTGGAGCGACTGGATGAGGCACGGCGTCGTCGCATCCTCGTCATGCTCAATCCCAAGTCGGGGTCGGGCAATGCGCGCGAGGTGTTCAACATGCATGTGGCGCCCGTGCTCAACGAGGCTGAGGTGCCCTACGATCTGTACGTAACGAAGCATTCCAACTATGCCATCGAATTTATGGGCAATCGTCGCCTGGATGACTGGTGCACCATTTTGTCCGTGGGCGGCGACGGTCTCTTCCACGAGATTATCAACGGGCTGTTGCGACGCCCGGACTGGTCTCAAGTCCTCGACAGCATTGCACTGGCCATCATACCCTGTGGCTCCGGCAATGGACTGGCCCGTTCCATAGCGCATGGCTACAAGTGAGTGGGTGGAGCATATAATAAATATATGATTAAATATTACAACTGTTGTTAATCCTTCTGTTCATTGCAGTGAACCGTATTTCAGTAATCCTGTTCTGGGTGCCGCACTGACCGCCATCAGCGGACGCAGCTCGCCGTTGGATGTGGTGCGTGTGCAGCTGGAGAGTCGCGTCATGTTCTCGTTCCTCTCCATTGGCTGGGGCCTGATCTCGGATGTGGACATTGAGAGCGAGTGCATACGCATGTTTGGCTATCAGCGCTTCACCATTTGGACGCTTTATCGCCTGGCCAATTTGCGCACGTACAATGGCAAGATTAGCTATCTGCTCGCTGACGAGGCGACGGAGCCGCATGCTGGACACGCTGCGCAGTCGGAGCAGCTGCTAAAGATGCCGTCGAGTCGCAGCTGCAACATGCATATCGATAAGCTGTCCAATGCGACCAGTTATCGCCGCTCCACGGAATATTTGCCGTCTGAATTCGAGGACGTCATCTCACTGGAGACGTCCATAAATCAGTCGTTCCGATCGCGTTGCGACAGTTGGCTATCGGGTGGTTCGCGTCGCAGCTGCTACTATTCCATATCAGAGAGTGTCTATCACAGCTTGGCGGACGAAAGCGAATTCACTCAGCCATCGACGGCAACTGTGACGGGCTTGGAGACGAGCCAGCTGAGCTTTGGGCCGAGCAGCAGTCTGCCAGCGTTGGATGAGCCGTTACCGGCAGCGGACGGCTGGCTGGTGGAGGAGGGTGAATTCGTAATGATGCATGCCGTCTATCAGTCGCATCTGGGCATCGATTGCCATTTTGCGCCCAAGGCGCAATTGAACGATGGCAAAATCTATTTGGTTTTAATACGCGGCGGCATCAGTCGACCGCATCTGTTGAGCTTCCTATACAATATGAGCACGGGCACCCACCTGCCCGAGAAGAACAACGACTATGTGAAGGTGCTCCAGGTACGTGCGTTCCGCTTGGAGCCGCACGACAATCACGGCATCATCACCGTCGATGGCGAACAGATCGAATTTGGTCCACTTCAGGCCGAAATACTTCCAGGCATTTCACGTGTCATGATACCAAAATAGGACGAGGATTGGCCACTGTTTGGGGAGTGTGACAGGGCAAGGCATGAATCTTAAAAGCAACGAACGTACATTCGAGCAATAATTATTAATCACTACTTGGGAATCTCTGCATTTGTATATGTATTTGTCGAGGCAATTCTGTTCTTAGATTGTCTGCGTTTCAAACAAGTTGCATGTTAAATACGTTTTTATTATTATTCCTGCAGTTATGGGCTACAAATGGGTTTATTTTCTTGTTAACATTCATCAATATTATTGTAGTTATTAACACAATATATACACATATATACGAATAAGCCAAAACAATTGTAACTAATATTGTGGAAAAAAAAGAAATAAAATCTCAAAGGGAAATTTGAATGAAATTGTGTTTATTATTTTCAAACGTAATGGCTGTTATTGTTTTGTCAAATTGCTGGCAACCCTGGCCGGGTCCCACACATATTATCGATAACTCAGTTGAAGCGCAGTAGAAAAAAAAAGTTGTGAAAAAACTTAATTGTAGCGAAGAAATTGAGATAGCGCAGCAGATAAGCAACTAATAGTTGTGTCTGAGAAAATAGTAGTGATTCAGAGACGCTAAGAGTATCCCACAAGCAGAAGCTGTTATCGGGCAAGGCCAGCGTCCATAAAATAATCGTGACAATATGTCAGCCGAGGAGCTGGCGCCAATTAACGAGCAGGACTTGAAGGATCTGAAGCAGCGGATGAAATTAATAGCTGAGGCCGATCCCAGCCAGTATCACAATGAGTTCTCGCTGCGACGTTATCTGCGCGCCTTCAAGACCACAGATGACGCATTCCAAGTGAGTCGATATCGTTTTTTCATCTTGACATTGACTTATGCACTGATTGATATAATTGATTTGCCCACTTGCTCAACCAGGCCATATTGAAGACGAACAAGTGGCGTGAATCGTATGGCGTTGCCAAGCTGCATGAGATGGACCGCAGCCAGTTGGATAATAAGGCGCGGCTGTTGCGGCATCGCGACTGCGTTGGCCGTCCCGTCATCTACATTCCGGCCAAGAATCACAGCGCATCGGCCCGTGACATCGATGAGCTGACCCGTTTCATTGTCTACAATCTGGATGAGGCGTGCAAGAAGTGCTTCGAGGAGGTCACCGATCGTCTGTGCATCATCTTCGATCTGGCCGAGTTCAGCACCTCGTGCATGGACTATCAACTGGTGCAGAATTTAATCTGGCTGCTGGGCAAACACTTTCCGGAACGATTGGGCGTCTGTCTAATCATAAATGCCCCCGGAATCTTCTCCACCGTTTGGCCGGCAGTTCGTGTGCTGCTGGACGATAACACCGCGAAGAAGGTGAAGTTCGTTAGTAACGAGGTGGATCTGTGTCAATATGTGATACCGGATATTTTACCAACGGATATGTAAAAACATATATATATATATAAATATTATGACATTCTTTTGTTGCAATTAGTCATAGACAAACATATCTCCATATGAGGCACTCTTGACATTATACACTAAGAGCAGGCAACGTGTACCTACTAGAAACCAGTACCTAATCAGCTGTATTTAATATAGATGCATATATCTATCTATCTATATTTATACATCTAACTATATATATATGTATTTATATATATATATATCTATCGAGGAGGAGGCTTCTGAAAAGCTTTTACAGAGTTTGTACTCCACACACATATATATTGTTTATAAAATGAATGTCTTTAACTTGTAGTTGCGTACGTTGTTTGTAATTGCATTGTGCATATTATGAAATATTTTAGATAAGTATTTATCTATGCATATTATTGTTTATAATATCTATATATATGTGAGTAATCATATTGGTATACGTCTATCTGTATAATAAAGTTGTAAAACACAATCAAATCGCTTTATTTATAGGCAAACGCACTGATAGCGTTGTGCTCCACATTCAGCGTTTTTTTGAATCAGAAATGATAACGACATTAATCAGTGGAATCATAGGTGAAACACATTGACGCCAATCTAAACAATTTGTTTACTTGACATTTTAAATGCTTATCGCGTTTGCGGCAGAACTCGTAGTGCTGCCAGACTGTAAAAGTATATTTAATAAAAGTGTGGCAACTTTAAAATTACCGCAGGGCATGAAGCTGGAGAAGGTGACGCCAAATTCGTGGCAGATGCTGTATATAAATCATATATTTATATATGTACATACTTTTTTCTTTTTTTAGATATTAAAATCGTACAATCAAAAGCATGTAATTTACATAACCTGAAAGTGTGACGTAACAAGTTGTTATTGCTGAAGTGTGCCACAAATTTACAGCACCTATTCACAATCACATTGCATGATGTTCGGCACCAACTGGTTTCGTTATCGAAAACTCGGTCATTTGATAACGAATTAGGAGGCAATCAATATGAAACGAATTTGTAACGATAATAAACGCAGCGCAAGCTCAGTTTGCCAACGATCCCCGTTCCCCAATCAGTGAGCAACGGAGCGTGCGGCGAGCAGCAAAATGACAACAGCTTCTCATATTGCTTCATTGGACGTTGGGACTACTTATTTGCGTTGCTTTGTGCTCGACGAGAACTGTACGGTCAAGGGGTCAGCGGCGTATGCAGTAAGTTAGTCAACTGCCATCACCAATCAAAGTTCAATGTTGTCAATGAATAATGCTTGATGGGCTTTTCTGTAGGTGGAGCTACTAAATCCGCAGCCGGGTTACTTTGAGATCGAGCCCGAAGGTCTTTGGCGCAACATAATCAAGGTGATAACAGAATCGATACGCAGTAAGTACTTAACAAACAAACAAACGCAAATTTCCGATTAAGTTACTAATCCTTATCAATATTTAATGTAGATGCCAGGCTGACACCCGCAGATATTACTTGCCTCACAATTTCGACGCAACGCTGCACGTTTCTCACGTGGAACCATCGGACGAATGAATACTATCATAATTTCATCACATGGAAGGACTTGCGTGCCGATGATCTTGTCGAGCAGTGGAACTCGAGCTGCTCGCTGCGTACAATGAATGGAATCTCGTATGCTTTGTATCTCCTGACAAGGAATGCCCGCTTTCTGGCCGGCAGCGTGCTCAAGCTGATGAATGGTCAGGTGACGGCGAGGCTGCTCCACGAAATCGCTCACAATAAACGCTTGCAGCAGGCGTTGCGTGAGAAGAAGGCACGCTTAGAGCTGCTCGACTCTTGGATATTGCACAAGCTACGCTCCGGCAATGGGCTGAATACGGATGTTGAACATATCACTGATATTACCTCAAGCACTGCCACCGGTCTCTATGATCCGTTCACCTTAAGCTGGTCGCCACTCATGCGCTGGTTGTTTGGCATCGATGTAAGCAGAGAATCAAATACTTATCATTATTAGCTGATCTAAACTCTCGATCTTTCAGTCCAATCTACTGCCACGCGTCGTTCCCAACAGCTATGAGAACTTTGGACACGTGCATCCCGCCGCCTTTGGTCCGGACTGGGGCCAGACGAAGATTCCAATTGCCGCCTCGCTGAGCGATCAGACGGCTGCCATGTGGGGCTCCCAGTGCTTTGCGACGGGCGATGTCAAGGTCACTATGGGCACGGGTGCGTTCCTTAATCTGGTCACCGGTAAGGAGTGTAAGGCCGTCATCAGTGGTATGTATCCATTGGTCGCTTGGCAGCTGAAGCGCAAGAACAAACACCTGGATACCATCTACTGCGTTGAGGGTGCCGCTCATGACTTTGGCACAGTGGTCTCGTGGGCGCAATCCTGTGAGCTGTTCGCGACACCAGCAGATACCTCAGATATAGCCGAATCCGTGCCAGACTCAAATGATGTTTACTTTATGCCTGCATTTAGCGGCCTGGGTGTGAGTTAAATATCGCAATCGAAGCTGTTCCGAATTGTAGAAAGATATAGGACTCGATTGTAATTCACTACTATAAAACTTTAACTATATATCTATTCCGTTAAGGATATACATATATATAACTGTATAACCAGATCTGCAAGTCTGTCTGTTTGAGAATTTTATCTACATTTGGATATTTCCGCTTGATAAGTCTGCCCATTTCCCTAAGATGTATAAAACTCTATTTTCGATACTCCTCACTTTAGAATACTCGTATAATTTAAAGATTATATGCTGCTCCTCTTTTCGTAACTCGGAACATGCTCTCAGCTTTTGCAAACTATTTTTAACCAAAAGAACTCTTCCTTTTAGCCGCCTGTAAATGACCATCGTGCCGCGAGTGGATTTATTGGGATGACGCCGTCCACAACCAAGGCACACATGGTGCGTGCGCTCCTCGAGAGCATCGTGTTTCGAGTGGTGCAGCTCATCGAGAGCGCTCAAAAGGAAACGGGTCAGCAACTAAAAGTAATCAAGTAAGTAACCATCTCTCTCTCTCTCCTTGTGCCCAGCAAGTAATCCCTAATCGATTCCTTCACAGAGTGGATGGCGGCGTGTCTCGCAATGATTTTGTGTGCCAGTTTCTGGCGGATGCCTGCCGTTTGCGGGTGGAGCGTGCCGAGTGCGTCGAGTCGAGCATTATGGGCGCCACTTATCTGGCTGGGTTTAATCATGGCATCTGGCACACACTCGATGATCTCAAGCGTTTCCGTCGTGTGGAGCGCATTTTTGAACCGCAACCAAAGCAATATGAGATCATTGCCAGCCGCATGCAGAAATGGAGCAGTGCAATTGAACGCTTCAGTGGCTGGTACTAAAGATAAGAGAGTATAGATTATTACAGGGCTTGTTTTTGTTATGTTTTGTTTTGTTTTTTATCTTACAATTGTTGTAGTGTATTGAAATTGTTACAATTATATTATCATAAATGTAAACGGGGCAGTGAAACGATTAACTCACGAAACATAAACCCCCAGTCTAAAAACTAAACTGTTTAAAAACTAAACCTTATTCCAAGGGCCAAGATTTGAGGACGGCTTTTCAGTCTCAGTCTCAGTTGAAGCGCTGCTGGAAACTCTGCTGCTGATTGAAGATCATTTGTTGCTGCTGCTGTTGTTGTTGTTGCTGTTGTTGTTGTTGCTGCTGCTGCTGTTGTTGCTGCTGCTGCTGTTGCTGATGATGGAAATCCTGTTGATTGCCCGTGCCAGAGAGACGCACACGTTTCGCATTTGGCTCATTGGGGTTCATTTGTTGTTGCTGCTGCTGTTGTTGTTGCTGCTGCTGCTGTTGTTGTTGCTGTTGCTGCTGTTGTTGTTGCTGCCGCTTGTTATCCGACTTGTCCTCCTGATCGTCATCGGTGAGGAACTCACGCTTGGGATATGGTATGGGACAGCCGGCGAAAACGTCCTGCGTCGGCAGCGGCTCCTCTTGGAAGTACTGATCCTGCATGGCCTGCTCGGAGGTTATGCGCTTGTTGGGATCCATCAGCAACAGCTTCTGCAGCAGATGGAATGCTTTGCTGTCTGGCTTGATCTTGTGCCGTTCCATGTACTTGGCCAGCGAGCAGGCCGAGTAAGTGGATCGCTTGAAGTCCTTGGTGAGCGTGTGGTGTTCAGGCATCTTTTTGATGTCTTCCCAGTCCTTGTCCTGCGGAAAGCCCATCACATTGAAGATGCGATCCAGCTGATCGTGGTGATAGGGATTACTAGTCTTAATATCTTCCTGGCGACAATGGAAGATGGGCTCCGATGTCAGCAGCTCCGCGAAGATGCAGCCAATGGCCCAAATATCAATGGCCTTGGTGTAATGTCGGGCGCCCAGCAGCAGTTCCGGTGCACGATACCAAAAGGTGACCACCACCGGATCCAAGTCGGCCAGCGGCTTCAACGGTGCATTGAACAGACGGGCAAAGCCCATGTCGGCAATCTTAACGCGTCCCCGCTCATTACCATCGCCCATGACCAGTATGTTAGCCGGTTTGAGATCCCGATGCAGCACCCAGTTGCTATGCAGATAATGAATGCCATCGAGGATTTGATAGAGCAGGCTCTTCACCATGCCGCGCGGCACCACCACCTGTTTCTTGGTGGCCTTCGCCGCCCGATGGAACTTAATGATGTGCCAGAGATCGTGCTCAGCGTAGTCAATCAGCAGAAACACCTTCCGATCATTGTGTGACAGAAAGACGCGAATCAGCGTTATCACATTCTGATGTTTCAGCTCGCGCAGCAGGGCGATCTCACGGCAAGCGGACATGGAGAGGCCGGTGCCATCGATCTGCTTCAAAGCGTATTCCTTGCCATCGCTGGGAGAATCAAACACAACAAGAATAATAACAAATTTGGGTGTAGATGTGGCTTGACGCAGCTGAAACTTTGCTTACCTCGTCTCCTTCCACTTGGCTTTGTACACATGGCCGTAGGTGCCGCGGCCCACTTTGCAGCCCTCATAGTTGAAGAGATCCTCCACTTTGGTTCTCTCCATTTGCGTTTTCATCTTAAAATCGTAGTCCATTTTTCCGCAATATAAAAAAACTTTTTAGCATTTATTTGGGTCGCTTAGCCGCACAGCTGTTTGCTAAATTTGCCAAAATGTTATTAGCAGATTGTTAACAGATTCACAATAGTACAGTTGTTGTTTACATTCATCGATATGTTATATCGGTGAGTTTCGTAATTAAATATCGATAGAACAGCTGTCAAACAAAACTGCTTCCAAACAACGTGAGTCCAAGAACTTATCGACGCGCAACATTTGATAATAATAAACATAATAAATGGCTAAGCGAAATATACGTGCAAAGGCCAAGAGTGCCGTGGGAGTTGCAAAGCAGAAGACGCAGGAAGTGCAGGCGAAGTTAAATAAAGCTGCACGCCAGGACAAATTGCTGCACAAGACCCTGACGCCGAAGAAGACGACAACAAAAAAGGAAAAATCAGCCCAAAAGCACAAGAAATTGATAAAGCGTTTTGTCGAGATGAAAAAGGAGTTGAAGGAGGAGCATGCACGCAAGAATCGAGAGAAGACCAAAGTTATTGGCGATTTGAAACCGCTGAGAGACGATTTGCCCTCGCTGGGCGACATCTACAAGCTGGTGAAGAGCCAGAAGAGGGAAAAGATCGGAGAGAGCACTTTGCCAGCAGAATCCGAGCCGCTGAGTGCAAAGGAAAAGATCAAAAAGAAACGCATCGAGTGTGTGAACAAAGTGCAGTCCTTTGAGAGACTGATCAAGGACAAGAAATTCAAACGGAATCCACGCGAAGTGATTGCGAATCACATACGCAACAGGTATCAGGCCATGGAGGAGGACGACATGGAATAGGAATCACTATAAATTAAGGGATTGTAATTTGCACTTTGATTTTATTTATTAAGAGTTATCAGTAATACATATGCATTATGTATAGCTTTATCATTTAACGATATTACACATAAGAATGTAAAATTGTAAGCATTATAAAGTAAGTGGGAGTCAACAGAACGCAAATAGAGAGGTTTTTATAATGTATAAATAAAGCAAATGGAGAACTGTTACTTTGTATTTTTGTTGTTGTTATCTTTAGACTCTACAGAATAGATGCTAATATCATAGCCATAGAGAGCATTTCTTGTAAACTCTTGTTAGTTTTGGATCAGCTTGGTGTTGTTCTTCTTACAGTTTATTTGCACAGCATTTGAAATCTGTGACTTCAGATATTCCTATAGATATATGTATTTATGCATATATGTTATTACTGCTTAAATTCATCGTGTCCAATATTCGGAATCAGACATTTCGAAAATGAAGCTTGTGTATTGTTGGTTTGTTTATTCGAGTGAGATCATTAAAATATTATATGTTTTTCTTGTTATTATTTTAAAGACACACACACTACACGAATTCTCCACTTGCACTAATAGCAAGATTAACATAGTTTTTATCGTGAAATTATTGAATAAGTTACTTCTTCAAATGGCAATTTCTGATGTGTTTATACATATATATATAGATATATTTAAATAAGCTGTAGTTTAGATTTGTACATTGAGCTATTTAAATGTACATTATACATATAGTATATTATTTAATGCGTATGGCTCTCTGTGTTTACGGCGATAAACGGATTTAAACTTAATCAGGGGGTTTCAGTTACATTCATTTATGTCTGTTCTTATTATTAAATATATATCTCGCATCTGTTTACATTTGCTTCAGTAATGTCGTCTTACCACCCAAGCAATTGAGGGACAATTTTTGAATTATTTTTTTTTTTTTTGCCAGCAATATAAAGCTTAAAACTCGACTAAATTTAGGTTACAGTTACAACCTACCGCGTTACAGTGCTTTCGTGATTTGATTGTGATTGTATTATAAGGGGGAGGAGGGGCATAGAGTGGTTTTTCAATTTCCTTTTTCTCTTTTTTTTTTTTGGGTTCTGGTTGAAAGTACATTTACATTAATATAAAGAAAATATATATATGTATTTGTATATAGCTATATCTAGATTTTGCACAATTATGAGTTAGAAACAACAACTTAAACTAGTTTCAAAATCTGTACTACGCGAATTGAACGAACGCCTTACTTATTCAGGAGAAACATCAGTAAACTGCAAAGAGAATTAAGTAACCAATTAGATACACATTGAAATATATAATATAGCTAAACATTACTCACCGGAAATTAATGCCCTTGTTTGCCAGCATTCTATTGCACTCACTAGAGCCTGAAATACCATTGCCATCTGGCAAGGGCAACACATAATAATCGCTTTCAGTGCTCTGTAAATATTTGTAAATTGAAGTGTTAAGTTCTACTTTATATTAGTTGTTCAGTTGGATTTACCGTCTCTGTAAACTCATGCTTGTAGATCTGCGTGGAGACCTTCATGTCCGAGAACGGACCCTTGAGCGCAAAGAAATGTATGCTCATTGGTGTGCTGGTTTTCGTCTTCAGTATCAGTTGATAGGTAATGGTGCGATCGTTCGACTGATGTGGATCGCGTTGGCTGTTATTAATGCGCGCTTTAACGACCCACTGCTGATTGAAGGCCGAGAAGCGAGCGGTCTCGTAGAACAGCTTGTGGACGTACTCATCCGTGCGATACGGTTTCATTTGTAGATCTTTAAAAAAACATACAAGGTTATAGCAAAGTCTTTGACTTTGTTTTGGGGGGTACACAAATTACCGTTGAATATAATTTTCTCGTAGCTGAGCAGATCAATCAATGTGCTAAACATTTTCTTCTCTTCCTTGATCTTGGCATCGTGCGCCTCCAATGCAGCCATTACCTCATAACCAGATTTCTGCGGATGCAAACAGTTGCGTTCGTGCTCGGTTGCTGTGTGATGAGATTGATTGAGATTGATCGTCAGCAGGCTTCCTAAGATTAGATATAAACAGTTACTCCAGCTACTCACTCTCATGAAAGGGTCCACGCCACTGGCAGCCAATGCGATGATATTTGCATTTTGTGGGTCTCTCCTGGCACTCGTGCTGCTCATGGCGCTCCAGCGATTTGTATGGGAACTCCTTGTTGCAAAACTAGATACCGTCAAGGTTATCGGTAAGTTGAGATTTATATAATATACAATTGATTGTTATTTTGGTGTTTCACCTGACACTCGCTGGGCAGCTCAGAGGCTGCCTTCTCCACGGCTAGATTACGGGATGCGGTGCTCTTTGATATTTCCACACGGCAATTGGGGCATGTGGCGATCTGATCGCGTAGGCTGCACATGATCGATAACGAGAAAGAGAAACGAAGAAGAAAAGATAGAATATTATTAAGTTTATCATCGCGACCAGTTAAGATAGTAAATAAAATGAGTTGCGTCAATTCACAGGTAATAATTTCTCAAGTCGTTTAATTTTCGCTTGTTTTTTATTTCATACCGGGCGTCCGCCAGGAGGTGGGTGAAGCAGGCGGCGCACATCAGATGACCACTTTGGCACTGAAATTAAAGAGAGCAGAGTGGAAACAAGAGAGGTTTTAGTGCGGGCGCATGTCACGATTATACTAAGTTGGAAATATGTACGTATATAGGTATATATATGCATTATATAGTAGATGTACTATGTAGTAGAAACTAAATAAAAAAATATATAGTGGAATACAAATAAACCTGCAATTAAAGAAAAAAGAAGAAAAAGTTGCTATTAGTCAAAATACGCCTTTTGCATAGTTGAAAATGTATGAGAAATTTGTCAAATGCTATTTTTAATGGTGGGCTGGGTGGGAAAAGTGGTTGTGAAAAGTGTAACGGATTTTCATTCGATGGGAGCGAAAATATCTGAAATGGATGGAGAGGCTTAGTGGCTGGGTGGACGTTTTTTTTTTTTTTTTAGTTGATTGGTTGTTCCTGTGGGTTGATTGATTATTACTCAGTTCCATATTTTGTTGTTGAAATAAAAACGCTTATTTTGTATTCAGTTTTGAATTTATCAATTTGCACTGTCTGCAAAATTTATTGAAATCATTTTTCTTTTTTCAGTTTTTTTATTTGTATTTTTTTTTTCATTTAATATTTGTACATTTCAAATATATATCAACAGTTTACAGTTACTGCCTCTCTTTGTCGCTAAATTGCTAATGATGTTTCTTTTTTTTATTGTTTTTTTTTTTTATACTTAGCGGTAAGAATTCATTACAATACTTGTGGCTGTGTGTGTGTGTTTGTTGAGTGTATGTGTACGTGTGTGTGTGTGTGTGCTTACAACAGTTTGCTAAGTAGGTAGAAAAGTTTCATTTTAATGTAATTATTAAGTTTACTTAACTAGATTATTCATTAGAAAGAAAGATATAGTTAAGATAGAGAAAGACAGATGTTAAGTCTAAGTCTAAGCATATACTGGACTAGACGTGTGTATTCAGCTCCATGACAAAAATCATAAGATAATCTTTTCTTTTTTCTTTTTTTTTTTTGTGGAAAATAAAAAATTATTTAAAGATTGTGTGTAGATTATGAGAGTGATTGGGAAGCAGTTGAAAACACTTCAGGGAGAGTAAATGATATTTTTCCATTCAATTTGCCGGGTCAGTCGATAAGTAAATAAAAATCCCAAGGCATTAACTGTAAAGGTCAGGCCTGGCATACCCTCTCTGCTGGTAATTTCCATTATACAATCTCTTTTTATATACATACATATATATATATATATATATATATTTTTTTTTGTATTGGCATAGAATGCGGGCGACGGACGCGACGCGACATTTTGTCAATTATCGTCGCTGAAGCGTGATAAAAACGCATTTTTGGGCTGCTGTCTTCTTTCTTGTTGCCTGCTTTTGGATTTTCTATTTACGGAGTGACATGTGCGAGATATGCCCAGAAAAAAAAACACACATACACACAATTACATATATGTTGCTATTCCAGAGATAAGAGCACGTCTGTTATTCATCTTTTGACTTCTTGTGTGCGTGTGTGAGTAGGAAAAAATGTTCTCCCAGATCCCGAAAGATTTTGATTTCGACTTCCATTCCCAATTTCCCCCAATTGTCAGGTTGAATGAACTTCCAAATATTATTCCAGTGTTAGGCGCATTAAGCAAACCAAAAAAAAAAAAAAGCCAATCGCTATTTATGACCTACAGTAAGCGATAGGCAGCAGCTGCGACAATTGTTTAAAACAAACCTCAAAGATGTTTAACTTGTTTTGTATCTGTGTGTGTACATGATGTCAATTCCATTCGATTATTCTTTCGTTCTCTCTATTTGTTACTCACTCGCTTGCTCGCTCAATTTTTGCTGCTCCCCTTTTCGATACGCTCATGCGTTGATAGACATAACAAAACCCAGCTGATGATGTTTTGGTAGGTGTATGTATGTATGCGTGTGTGTGTGTATAAGTAGCTCTGTCAAAAGCAAAGCAGCAGAAAAGCGAACAGTGGCTGATGGAGATACAACAACACCAAGAGCGATAACAACAACGTAGCGTAGGTAAAAGAAAAAACACACTCACGCTAGATTTTACAGGTTTCAGGTATTGGCTGGCTGGCTTAAACTGGTAAAACGAGTTTGTCTTAGATTACAGGTCACTGCAAATAACAACAATAACAACCTGCACTCAACACATATTTTTTTTATAATGCTGCCCTTGCATATATAGCTATATACATACCTGCTTATACACACGTATATATATATAGCCCTGACAGCCGGAGACGAAAAACTTTCAAAGTGCGTAGTTTTTTTTACCCATTTTTCATTTTCTGCCAATTGCCCACAAACAGCTGACTCTGGTACGCTATGCGCTGCGTGTGTGAGTGTGAGCAGGACAATACGAATGTTGAGGAAAAGAACAACTGGCAGCAAAAGCAAAACAATAACAGAGAGCGTGAATATGAATAAACGAGAGTGGAAGACATTTCATATGTATGTGTGTGTGAACTTATTGTGTGTTTTTGTATGTATGCATGTATGTATGTGTGTGTAGAAATGCAAAAATGGCTTTTGTTGAACTAGTCGCCATATACATATTTAAATTATTGAAGTGTATTATTTAGTTCAATACAATTTAATGACGTAGCATGTTTTTGTTGCTGGGTCAAAGCTATGACGCAGTTATATTTATACTCGCGTATGCATGTGTGTTAATTGGGGGATGGGGGCCACAGAAATAGAGAGTATGAAAACGAGCCAGAGAGAGAGTCGTAGACAAGAACGCAGCACAATTGAGAAAAAGGCGAAAAGGCTTAGGAAAGCAAACGTAGAAATCAACAAGAATCCACACATACATTTATATATTTGTATATAAATATTATACACATGTACAAAGATATTACGTAAAGCGTTAGTTGTTAATAAATTGGCACAATTATTTATTAAATGGACAAATAAAGCGCTGCCGAATTAAGCAACGAGTGTATCAATGAATGATAGAAAAAAAAAGAAGTCGTTTTGTTTGTTTGCATGTGTGTTTGTGTGTGTATGGTTTAAAAGCGAATTGAATGAAAGAGGAAACGACTGACAAGCAGCAGACAGACAGACAGACAATTGGACTTTTCAATGACTGCGTGTGTGTGTGTGAACAAAGCAAACAAACATTGAGTTTGCTGCTGCTGTGTTGTTAGCATATTTATTTTTTGATTGCGGGCGGGGCTCGCTTGTTGGAGGGGGTTGCGGATTAGGTGGCGACAACGTTGGGGCGCCGCTGCGGAGGTCGCACGGCCAACAACACAGCAGCTATAAATAGGCCACGAACAAAAAAGAATACATAGTCTCCCATTTCACAATATATATGTATGTAAATAAAGCATTCGTTGCGAAGCATTCGCTATTTTTCTTATATACACACTCAAATACATAAGCATTTGCATATATTAGTGCGTATGTATGTGTATAAAGAATGCACAACGCATATGAAATTTATGACGCAACAGCGGAAAACGTCAGCTTCGCTTTTGCAGCTGAGCAGCTGTAAAGAGAGTGTTACTGTAAATGTAACTGCGCAAATAGTTGTAAGGTGGAGGCAGCGGGGAGTGGCAACTGGGGTGAGCATAGAAATTGAGCAGGGTTGCTTTGGCTGCGTTGTTTCACGTACGTACCTAAAACGCAATAAAAGTGCAGCAACAGCAGCAGCATTTCGAGAACTGCATGCGTGCGAGTGAGTGCGCTATACATACATACTTGGAAAACTGATCGAACGGGCGGGGAATAGTAGATAGTAGAGGGAGGGGGGATTGCTGCAAGTGCCTGGCATTGTCAAAATCAAGGCAAACGTCCAACGTAACCAAAGACAAGGCATTAAATACACCGTTGTTTTGTTTCCTTCTCTCTTTGCTTTTACGTTATAGTTCTCTCGCAAGCGAGGCCAGCTGCTGCCTAACGATGACAAGCTAGGGGGGCAGTGGCTGCTTACAGCTGAGTTTTCGTTTGCTTTTTGCTCGATTTGTTTTGTGTACAGAGATATGTCACGCACCCACACACACACACACGCAGACGCACATACATTTACTTCCTTGTGCACACATATTTATATATTATATATACGCATATAATTAACATTTTTTTATTTGATTTTTTTGGTAGTTCTGCATGCAGCAATCAACTCACCTGATACATGGCCGTTTTGGGCAGATCCAAGCAGACGGCACAGCAGAGTGCTGTGGAAATGCGATAGGCGAGCTTCTCCGTTATTGCGCTTCCAGTTCCAGCTGAGCCACCGCCACCACCACCCGAACTGGAGGGGGAGGAGGCTGCATTTGTATCGAGCATTTGCTTTTTCGCAGGCGGTTCACCGCTGCTCTGCGTATCCAGTGGCACGCCCACTGATGACATGCTGCTGCTGCCTCCGCCCCCAACACCTCCCGAGGTAGAGGTTGAGGCCTGCATTTGCATTTGCATTGTGGTCACCTGGTTGTCGCCCAGCATGGGCAGCGTGGACGAGGGGGGCTGCTGCACCGCCGAACTGGACGATTCTACAGTGGACATTTTTGTTTTTTTTTTTAATCTAATTTTGCGAGTTTTCTTTTTTGCTTTTGGCTTCGACAATATTTCAAATTAAGTTGATTAAAATCGCTTTCTCTCTCTCTCTCTCCAACACATACACACACACACATACAGCTATGCACACTGCACTTTTGCGATTTTTCCTATTCTCACACACACAACTTTCTTTGCTCTCCACTCCCACTTTTTTTTAGAGAAATATTCCGCTGAACGTCCGTTCGTTTGAAATGTTGAAGCTACAATGAGAACTGACAGAAGAGAGGTGTATATAAAATGAGAACAAACTGACAGACACTAACAGAATGTTAAGAAAGTATTTAACAGTATTTTAAAGTTAGGTACAATGGGCAAATCGAGCACAATTGCTTACATTCAATGCAGCACAAAGATCTGCAATAAAGTTATAAATATGAATTTACAAAATTGAAATAGTCTGGTCGAAATGTGGTCGCGCTTAACAAAATTAAATTTTATATGAGATAACGTATTGCATTGCAATATGCGTGTTTGCTGTATTTACTTACTGTCCCTTTCCTAATGTTATACTCAAATTGGCTATGTTAGTGAGGCGATAAGCAGCAGCTGTTTTTGTTTTGGTTTTATTTAATGATTTCAATTTGATATATTTGCAGATTGCAAGAATATATTACACATATCAGCAATTTCTCGTCTGCTTTTCGTCCATTCCCCTCAAAAGACAGATTTTATTCAAACACAAAAGCATACATTTATTCAGCACTTATGTAATCTTATGTATTTTACAAGTAAGGCCGGTCCATGGGCGTCTTTTTGGCCTTCTTGTCGCGTGCTCGGGGGAACCAGCGATGCTTTGTGGTGTGCGTCAGCTTCATCAGCTCCTGGCGGGCAACTTCGGGATGCTTGTTCTTAAATGCACTCATTGCCGATTGCATCGCAGTTTCCTTAATATATTCCGAACTCTGCTTCTCGACAGTATGCGGCAATGGCTTTGTGTGTTCGTAGGGGAACTTGGTCTCTGGATGCCAGGCAACAATTGTTCTGCCATTTCTAGTTACTGCCACACTGTCGACAAGGCTTTGGCCACCCACTGCATTCTTATTTATGGCATTTTTTGTGACATTTGTTGAAAACAAACGACAGACGGAATAGAAACGTGCCGACATCTTAAACAGTGTGACCAACTTTCGTTGATTAACATTTTTCAAATTGTAAATTATCGACAGACAGCCACAAAATGTTAATCGATTGCAAAAACAGCTGTTGTACACGGCACAACAAAGAACGCGCAAACATTTTTAATTAATTTTTACGAAATCTATTTGAAAAGTGCAATTTACTTTGTATATGTCATACTTACTCGATTTGTGCACACAATATATGCATTTTGCAACAAAAACAGGAGCAAGCAACTACGCCAAATGATGCTCCCCAAGTGGGGCTGCGTGTTGCATTTGTTTTGCAAATAAATCTCATGCTTATTTACAAACATTAGTTACAATCGTGTTAACACATGCAAAATGCACAAAAAATATGAGGAGTAACTTCCAAAAAGTACATCATTGACAACGAAAAATAACAGCATTCTGAATAAGCTGAGACTTTAGAATCAGCATAAATTACTTTGTAAGTGCTTACATTCCGACTTGATCTTTAAACTATTACTTATTAATATATCTGGTTAATTAATTAGTGCCTGGCAAAAGAAAGAGAATTCAACTAATATGAGTGGTCGATGCCGTGGACGTGGTCGTGGGAATGCTCGTAGGCGTACCGTACGCAATTCCCCAGAAAGGGATGAGGGAGATGAATTCGATGCTTATGAAGATCCGCTCGATATTGGCATTACCGTGAAGAATGAAGTGATATGCCCCGAAATGTTCCAAACCGAAGATGAAGTTTTTGGTATGGTCGACAGTCAGAATTTGGTTGAGGAACAGCAAAGAATGCAGCAGGCTTATCATCTGGAGGCGGGTTCGACTGATTACCACATTTCCCAACGCCTGAGCAGCCTGGAGCGCAAAATGGATTTCCTGCTTAATATAAATACCAGAATTCTGGCGCGCGTCGATAAAATCTGTGAGAATATGAGGACGGTGACCAAGCCAACAGATTTTCCCGTCAAAACAAAAGAAGGCCTGGAAACGGTCGACGTGAAGATCGCCAATAATATGGATAAATACGTTAGTTGTTTTGTCATGTGTTTTTTCGACACTTATTCAAGAAAATATTTGTTTCGTTTTCTTACACAGATCGAGTTGTTTAAATCTCTTTTAAAGCCAAGCGGTATTATTAAAAACATTGGTCGCATCCTCGACCAGAAACTGCTAATGGAAATGAACTATGCAGGATGCAGTTCAAAAACTGGTCTAAGCAACTATGTCAACTTGAACACTGCTTTATATGGTAAGTAAAATATTCCTCTTGAATTATGCTCAATATGTTAATGTATTTGGCTTTCCACAGAATCTACAAGTACTGAAGGATATACTTTTGATGATTATAAAAGGGATGTTCGCCTGGCTTTTGCGAAAGCAAAAAATCGCGTCTACAAGGCCAAATCGGAGGCAAGAAGGCTGGAAAAAATGAATGAAGATGTCAACGACAGCAAAAGTGAAAAAAAGGTTAAGACCAAAAGTAATGGAATGATATAGTGAATCTTAGGTAGCCAAATGTCTAAGCCTAGTAATCATTATAAGTAATTTTTATTAGTTGTATCAAAATGAACAGACTTGTATGCGTCTCCTATATATATTATATATATTTAATATATTTATGTACATCAATTTCCGCACACTAAACTTATGAACATACAAACATTAATCTAATCGTTTTCTCACTGTTCTTATGTTAGCTCACAAACGTGGGAATTGATATCTCCCATTTATCAAACGATGCAGCTAAAAGCCGTAGAAACATGCGGACGGTGGGCAAACAAAATGATTTTCCCGTCAAAACAATGGAAGCATTGACAGCACTTGACAAGAAGATCGCGAATAATATGCAAAGCTATGTTAGTTGTTAAATCAATTTCCGTACTCAGCTCCAGAAAATGTTTATATATGTTTGTTTTTGTTCCTTATTAACAGATCGAGTTGTTTAGAATACTTTTGTTCCCAAATGGTATTGTTAAAAATATCGGCCTCATTCTCGACGAGGAACTATTTATGGAAATGAACTATGCAGGATACGGTTCGAAAACTGGTCTAAGCAACTATGTAAATTTCAACAATGCTTTATATGGTAAATTATAATTATTGCAATTATTTATTACATTTTACTTGATATGTCAAATTATTCGTTTTTCTACAGAGTCGCTTAGAACGGAAGGATACTCTTTCGATGACTACAAAAAGGATGTCCGAATGGCTTTTGCCAAAGCAAAAAACCGCGTCTACAAAGCCAAATTCGAAGCGAATAGGCTGAAGAAACTGTTTGAAGATAACGATGACAGCTCAAATGACAAAGAGGCGCAAAATAATAGCAATGTAAGGATATTGGGAACATATGCATATATCAATTTATATAATCCGTACATGTTAATTAGTGAATTAGTATGTAAGAACATACAAATATTAATACCTGTAATTTTTCATATTGTGTTTAGCTAAACGTCGAGATCATCGATAATTCCCATTTATCAAAAATTGCTGTTAAGTGCCGTGAAAAGATGAAAACTTTGATAAAGTCAAATGACTTTCCCGTGAAGACTGCGGAAGAGTTGGAAGCGCTTGATGTCAAGGTCGCAAATAATATGGAACAATATGTTAGTAGTTCTATCAATACTTGTATTTTAATTAAGGAAATCATTTTTACGTTTCTTCTCATAATCAGATCGACTTGTTCAAAAATGTTTTAATGCCCAGTGGTATTGTAAAACATATAATTCGCGTCATTGACGTGACTCTGGTTATGGAGATGAACTATGGCGGATTCGGTTCAAAAACTGGCCTAAGCAGCTATACTAACTTGGATAACGCGTTATATAGTAATTAATAATGCGTTTTTTATATAATATTTAATATAAACATATATATTTCGACATTCAACAGGATCTCAGAAGACTGAGGGGTACTCTTTCGATGACTATAAAAAGGATGTTCGCTTGGCCTTTCAAAGAGCCAAAAATCGCGTCTACAAGGCCAAACACGAGGCAAATAGGCTGAAAAAATTAAAAGCAAATAACTATGGAAGTAAAAAAGAGTTCTAAGACAATGTAAATGTAATTATAAAATTAACATTACTTAGCCATATATATATATATATATATATATATGATTCCATATAAGCCGTACACATTACCAATTATTATAAGTCATTAATATTGATGAAGCGGCGTTTTGGGTTGTCTTATGTAAATATATATATTTAATGTATAATCCTCATTGACCTATCATTTTCTCACTGTATTTGTGTTCGTTAATAGTCCTGCATACCAAATGCTTCCATTTATCGTACGAAAGTGAAGGAAAATTTAAATTGTTTTGTGGGACTTAATGCGTTGCTTAACTTGATTGGGGTTAAGTTAATTTAAACTTAGCAATTTGAGGACTTTTAGCTACTTGGCATAGTTGGGTGGGCATTGAATATTTGACATAAGGTGTATGCATTTTACTGAAATGACCATCATTGTGCCAAAGTTCAACATTTCACAGTCACGCAGCTTGACTGCCAGAAGGTCCATTGAAGTTTTGACATTTCAGCTCTTTTGCTGCACGTCTGAAGCTGTTTTCATTCCATTGCGTCACTTGACTGCCAAGCGCTGCTATATATTATTAAGTGCTTCAAATTTATTTTGAATAAACACAAAATGTCAGCGACTTTGGGTCGTCGTCATAGGAGCCTTGCTCTTGCTCTTGCTCAGCCAGTTTCACACTTCACAAGAAGAACGTCTCCTTTTATCGACTATCAGCCGCATTCATTGTTTGCCTGCGGCAAGCGTTTATTTATGTTGTATATTTTTATTTATTTTATTTTATTTTCTTTTCTTTTATTTTGGTCTGGAACCATGTCAACAAGCACTCCAATTCGTAACTATGGCAAATAAAAAATATTTTATTTATTGCGGAGAAGTTGTTATTTTGTATTTTGATTTTTATTTAATTTACATTCTATGGCTCAATTAATTGGCGAGGCGATATGAACCAAAGTGTCCCCAAAAGTTTTAATATGTGGCCATTGCCTTAGGGCTAACATCAAGAGAGCCAACTGAATATCTGTCATTCACATGCCGGTGTCGTCGGTTATGAGCCATAAAAATGGCTCAATGGCACAAAAACACACCGAAAACATTGCCCCGAAACACCCAAACACCGAAATGTCGAAAATTCATTGCGTATACGCACGGTTATCGCTCATATATACAATTTCCATCGCAATTTATTACAATACAAAAAGCCGGAGGGGCCGAAACTATGTCCATGCTGACACGCCCACGTCCGCCTTTTTCGCCATTGATTTAACGCCCTTGCTTTGGGTGGGCGATACATAAAAGGCGGCACACCATTGCTGCAAATTGTCCCCCATTTGTTTTGTCTGATAATGTCTCAATAAAATCTGTAAGGCATCCGTAGGTGTTCACGTATACACACGTATATATATATATATATACATATATATACATGTATATATATATATATGTATATATATATATATATATGCCAGTGTTATAGGTGTGTGTTATTACCAATACGCCTGCTACCTAGTTAAGCTCTCTCTGCATGTATATTGGTCCTCTGCACCGAAACTATTTTGTAATTACTAAAGTTGTTAAATTTAACAACCGTTGTCCCTGCCTTGTATCTACCAAACTCTGTGCATCGCATTTTGTTAGCCATATCGCCACGCTGCCTTTTAATTAAATGGTTTTCATTCATTTCATTATAACTGCAACCAGTTGGTTTTATTTGCCTTACGAGGAGAGAGAAGAAAAAACGGTGGCTGAATTTCTTTTATTTTTTTCTGTTTGTTTTTGTGATGTTCTCGGTAATAATTTAAAGTCCATTTCTCAAATATTTCTTAAAGTTCGAATACTTGATAATAATTTTTATGCGCTGCACTCATGAATAACAAAAAAAAAGTGTATAAATAAATATTGTTTATCAGCATCAAGAACCAATTTGAATATTGCTATAAATTCAGAACTTGTTTATCTGGTTTATATGAACTAGATGTCAATTTAATTTTATTCACCATATCCTTTTGTGACCGTTTTCAGTTACAGTTATTGCAAAATAATGCTGTTTTTATGATTTATATGCTGAAGTGAATCATGGAATATCTTTCATTTGTGTCATATTTTTAGCAACTTAAACCCATTTCTAATTTTCAAATTGTCCGCCGTTTTGCTGTCGTCAAGGACCTCGCTGAGTAATTTATGCATTCGAGTAAAAATAACTGAGCTCGAGCTTGGTTATAAATAAAGTTTTCATTGTCAAGGTTTTGTCGCTCAGCAACTTTTGTGAATTGTGTTAAATTGGACTTTACATATTTGTTATTGTCAGCTACTCCATCTAATTAGTCAGGTAGTCAGCCGAGAATTTTCCATTACCTCTTTAACATTAAGTATGTATTGATTTTGCTTAGAAATTAACTAAAATGGATTGTTGTCTTGTTTTATTGTCTAGACAGATAGGAAAAAAAAGTTTTGTCGAACGGTGCGTATGATTAATTTAGAGTAAATGTAGAGTTATTTAGTGAATATGGGCATACAAAATACGTGACTTGTTCTGCTCTGTCTGTAACGACGCATCGTTAATCGAAAGATATAAATTTAAGCTAATCAATTTATGTCTTTGGACGCCACAAATTGCACATAATCCCTTGTCGAAACAAAAGCAGACACCGAAACATAAACCGCTGCCGAATCAGTAGAAAAAGTAAACAACAAATTACAGATGCATGAGGCAAAAAGTTGTCTCTTTTCAATTTCGATAAAGAGCCGTGCCGATTTGGTCGCCTAAGCCCCCATTCAAATCATGGGCATACTCCCCACATAGTCGTTATACTCAATCGAATGTGTGAAATTTCCTTTTCATAGCTGAATTAAATTCCAATGCGCACGCACTAAAACACACTCAGACTCACCCACACCAACCATACACACACACACACACACACACATATACATATGTGTATGTGCATATCTATGGATATATGCCAATATATACAAGGGCGATTTTAAGCCACTCCAAATGGTGCACAGTGGGTATCCCAATACCAAAAGGCATTGTTTTATATTTTTATTTTAATTACAGCTTCCCATTTTGTAAGAGTGAAATGAATTTAAATTTCAGCTGAAACTGTACCCTACGAAACTTCAGACAAGACAAGAGCAATTTCCATAAACTTATCAAAACTGATGCAATTTAAATGAAAGTTTTATGCAACTTTATTATTTAGATTAAAATATTGCCCCCCAGGATCAAGATCATTAATTTCAGCTATTTAGGCTTTGCTCAATCGTTGACAAATTTTTTGAATAAAATTTGGAAACCAATTTAAAATTCGTAGCTACTGTGCAGGCTTTTGGTTTTGCTACGTTTTTCCTTTGAGTTGTCGTTCAATTTGAATGTCTTTCCCTTCTAATTTCCTTTATCGAATTTACGATTTGTTGGCCATGTCATCAACTCAGCCCAGATATATGTGTGTGACAACAAAAGCAATATGTTTTTCATGTTAGTTTGCATGTTAGGGGTACCCTGCCTTTTTATTTTTAACATTCTCATCTTTCTCTTTCTCTTTTTTTTTTTGTGTTTTACTCGAATTTCAAAATAATGCTGCGTATGTCAGTCGATCGATTGTTGTTTTATCGTCAAGGGTCCGCTTTCAGGCTGACAAATGGAGTTTTCTGAAAAATACATACATCCGCATGAGAAATGTGCCAACTATAACCAAAAAACAAAAATGTCAGAAGCTAAAGGTGACCTACAACCTTTGCTAGCCTTGCCATTGTCGCTGTCCTTTGCGGCCCACGCATTGCCATTTTAAAAGTGCAGATGAAACTGCATCAACTCTTCTTCCCTTTCCATCCCCAACCCCAGCACCCAAACCTACTGTGTGGAAAGCAAATAAGACAGTAGCCAAGTTTACTTGCCAAGCTTATCCGCACACACAAATAGACATAACCACATATACACAACAGTTTTGCGTAAACACGGAATAATACTAACTTCAATGGTGAGCTCAGAACAGCAGCAGCAGCAGCAACAGCAACAATAATAAAATTGCGCATACGACGAGTTGTACGCCAAGTAAGTAAATGGTCACGTTTTGTGTGGAAAATTGTGTGTGCTTGGGTATATATGTATGTGTTTGGGAAATCCGTTCACCTTATAAACAGCTAAGGTAGTTAGTGATAAAGTTATGCAAGTTGGGGTCGCGTCAGCGCAGCTATGATTATTAGAAACTATAATCATAACTCAAATATGTTGAAATGACAGCGGGCGTAATTAGATAATATAGTAATCATAAAGTAGAACTCTAAATGATGTCTACGAAATTTATGCATGGGGTGTGACCTTTATTCCCAAATGCTTTAAGTGCTATGTGCTATAAATATTATGTTGAATGATTTTGATTGTCTGAATATAAACACCATTTTGGTTTAATTCTGAAAAAAATGAATTAAAGTAGGAAAATTATGTAGTTATAATAACAATGAAAGTAATGAAAGATAAGTTCTTGTCATGTAAAGATCGATGAAAACTTTTCAGCAGGCTTTACTCTATAATAATACTTCATTAAAATGTTAGAAAATCGATCTAACAGAAAGTTCCTCAGAACGGGTGAAATCTTTCCAGTGTCTTTGTCAAAACTGCTCCGATTTATAAAAAACCATTTCTTTTTTTCTTATCATGATTTGACCTCTAAAATAATACTATATTTAAGGATCGAAACACTATGCTTACTCGAAATTTATATCAATAATGCTCAACAATGCAACCATAAGACAGTTCCACACACACTCATACACACACTAAATTATATATTTTTAGTGTTAATTTTTGTTGTTTTTTAAGTGCGTGTTTTTTTGTTGGTGCCTGAGAACTTTGCAGCTGTCTTTTTGACTGTATTTTGTTAGTACTTTTGTGGCATGGCTAAGTGACTTGGCTTAAAGTTGCCCGACACTGTGTGGCACGTTGAGTGTCAAAAATAGCTGCTTGAACAGATCTTAGATAGGACTACGGGTATATGCAAATTTTAGTCTTATATAAACGCTATAAAAATTGCGGAAGCAAAGGCGACTTGTGGTGCCTGTGGCAATTTAGTCATAAAAAATATTGCTTCATCTGCTCGCTGGCTGCTTTGCTGGTTTACTGGTTTGCTGGTTGCATGCCACAGAGTATAGCGGATGGCTTTAGCTTTACACGTTTTGACA